TGGTAGGAAGTTTGGGTAATAGGCGGAGGCCAGTGTGGAGGGATGTATTTGGTTTGCGTTTAGCGCTGGATACATTGAGCAGTACTGCTGGTGGCCAGTTGTGTAGGTGGTGTTGACCTCTCTTGTGCTCTGCTGTGTTAGAGGCTGTGCAGTCTGCTTGTTCTTCATTCTTTCCTGTGTCTCTTTTGTCTTCGGACAATCTTTGGTGCTGTGCCCTGCGCTTTCGCCGTGAAAAACGCAATATGGCCTACGTTGTTTCTGCTTGTTTTTGTCCTAGTTTTTGCCTTGGTAGCCTTGCCGACCTTGGTTCCTGGTTTGGGTCTCTGGTCCTACTGGCGTTGCCAATTGCCCTTGTTTGGGTTGAGGTTGACCCTCAATGTTGAGCACTTGCCTTTGGCCTGTTTTCTGATTTGATGCGTTCTGGTTCGGGTAGCTCTTCTGGGAGTTTTTACTGCTGCTTTGCTGTCTGTTTTGACCCTGCTCCTCCAGCCTTTTCCAGAGGTCATTATCTGATCTGCAGTATTTCTCGAACTCATCATACAACTGCTGTATGGAAGTTGGTTTCTTTCTTGCTAGGTGTGCTGCGAACGGCCCGATTCGGATGCCTTTGATCGCTGCTTCAATGGCGATCTCATCTGGGACGTCTGGTGCCTTCGCCTTTACTTGCACAAATTTCTGTATGTAGTCGTGTAGTGTCTCTCCCTGCATTTGCTTGCACTGGAACAGATCCGTGGATGTCAGCGATTGTGCGGCTAGTCCTTTGAAGTTTGCCAATATTTTGTCCCGAAGGTTTTCCCAAGAATAGACCGTGCTTGGTTTGAGCATGGAATACCAAGCCAACGCGTCGCCTTCGGCAGCAATGACAAAAGACTTTGCCAGGACGGCGTCGTCTCCGCCGGCGGAGGCTACTGCTGCCTCGTAACTCATGATGAACTGATGGGGGTCTGTCTTTCCGTTGAATTTTGGCAGTGTTATTGGCTTGTACGCTGTTGGCCATGGCGACTGTTGTATACCTTCTAAAAGTGGGGACTTGGGATCGGTAGGCCTCCGCGTGACCTGAACTGGCATTGTGGGCTGGTTGATCACTGGCGGAGGCCCCTGTGGTATGGTTGTTGTTCTGTTGCGGAGGTGGGATTACGGAGGTTGAGGCTGGTATCGCATGTCGCATACTCAAAGCATCTCAAAGCATGTAGGACCGCCAAGCTCTTTGTCGATTCTGCTTTGCTTGTCTTGATGCTTGAGTAGCTTGTCGATTGGTCAGAAGCGTTCTTTGCCATTCTGTCTCTCTCTTGTTGCGCTCTCTACAATCTGCGCTGCGTTATTTGCGATTCTTGGTCGAGTGTTGCACCTGGATTTGGTTGGGCCTCCAGACCTTGGATTTCTGGATCTTGGGGCTCCGGTGGTTGACCCTGGGCATCTGCTCTGGTACTGACCTCCGTTGGCAAAGTTGCGTAGGTGCTACGAGTGGTGCGCCTAGGCCTTCCTTTCTGACCCGTGGTCGCTGCTGCTCTGGTGGTGGTTTTTCTTTTCCCTGCCATCTTTGGTTTGCCTAGTCCAGCCCCACGGTGGGCACCAATGTTAAAACTTGCGGTTTCAGACAGGTAACTGGGGGCCTCCGCCCGTGGACGGCTATCCTCAGGCGGAAGCTCGGTTAACAGGAACGATCGCTGGGCGTGTAAGGGAAAGGGCACGGAAAGCTAGGGTTTCATTAATGCATTTTCCAACCACCCCCTGCACGGTTACAAGTGTTCCCTATTTATAGGGCTCAACTACTTCATGACAAAATTTATTACAATGCCCCTCAACTGCTACAGTACATTCCTGGAATATTCCGCCGCTAGCCTCTCGTTTGCGGGGCAATCCTGCCATACCGTCTCCGAGTAATGGGCCTCCATGAGCAGTCGGCCCACCATGCTTGGTCTTCGCCCAAAGGCTGGGTCCCCGTCTTGGCCTCCATCTCCAGGGGCACCACGCTATCTCGGTGGTTCTCCACCGGCCGGTCAGAGACATCTCCCGCGGGTCTCCGCCCGGCCGTGCGGGGGCCATGGCTGTCGACGCTGGCCTCCGCCTTCAGGGTCGCGCCGTCGCCCTGGCAGGTCTCCGCCGGTCCGGTCGGAGGCATCATCCGCAGGCCTCCGCCCGGCCATGCGGGGGCCAGGCTGGCCGCGTGGTCCCCGGCGCCCGCGCTTGAGTACCTGCACACAATTAGGCAAGATCGTTGTTTAATTAGTTTGGAGGTGAGGCGACCTTCGCCCTCCTGGCCGGAGGTGCCCTCGTATCCTGTGGACTGCGCGGGTCTCTGCCACCCGTGGTGGCCATGTTACAACAGTTCCCCCCTTTTGAGACCACGGTCCACCTGAGCGTGTCGTGAGCTCAAAAAACGCCCCAAACAAGGACGTCCATGGGGGCAGAGACTACGCGCAGTCACGTCTTCGACCGATCCCCGCCGGTTGGGGGCGGTGACTACGCACAGTCATGTTTTCGACCGATCCCCGCCGGTTCCCCCCTGACCCGTTCTGGCGTGGTCGTTGGTCTTGTCGAAGTGGCCGTTTAAACCTAGCCGTTGCGCACCTTGCATTTTATCCGGAGATGACCGTTGGGCTTCAGGCGAACTATCCGGAGAAGACCGTTGCCGCCAGTCGGGCTGACTGGAGATGACCGTTGTTCGGCGGGAGCTGAGCCACCCGCCCGCGGCCTATATAAGGGCGAGGTTGGTGGCGGGGTCCCCCCCACATGACTCGTTTGCTTGCCTTGCAGCGCCAGACACCGCTCTCTGCTTTCTTTGCTCACGCCTGAGTCGCGTCCGCGCGTTCCTTCTTTCCGCTTGCGCATTCCTCCACGGTTGCAGTCGCGGTGGCTCTCTCTTCCACCTTCGCCCATACTCGCCGGCCCGCCTTCTTCGGTCCCTATCGCCACCTTCTTGGTGTTAGGCGGTAAGGCTGGGTGCTGCGTTCGAGGAGTGCATGCTTGCCTCCGCATCCATGTTGGATTTTGAGAATCTGCTGGAGGAAGATTTGGGGAGTGTCTCCGCGTCCGTCGGAGACCTGATCGCTGCGGATTCTAGAGACATGGCAATAAAGTCATGGGACTTCGGCCCCTCCTCCACATGTTGAAACTTTCGGTTTCAGACAGGTAACTGGGGGCCTCCGCCCATGGACGGCTGTCCTCAGGCAGAAGCTCGGTTAATAGGAACGATCTTGGGCGTGTAAGGGAAAGGGCACGGAAAGCTAGGGTTTCATTAATGCATTTTCCAACCACCCCCTGCACGGTTACAAGTGTTCCCTATTTATAGGGCTCAACTACTTCATGACAGAATTTATTACAATGCCCTTCAACTGCTCAAAGACATTCTGGAATATTCGCCGCTTAGCCTCTCGCTTATGGGCAATCTCGCCATACCGTCTCCGAGTAATGGGCCTCCATGAGCGATCGGCCCACCATGCTTGGTCTTCGCCCAAAGGCACTGGGTCCCCAGTCTTGGCCTCCATCTCCGTGCGCCACGCTATCTCGGTGGTTCTCCGCCGGACGGTCGGAGACATCTCCCGCGGGTCTCCGCCCGGCCACGCGGGGGCCATGGCTGTCGACGCTGGCCTCCGCCTTTAGGGTCGCGCCATCGCCCTGGCGGGTCTCCGCCCGGCCGGTCGGAGGCATCATCATCCATGAGCCTCCGCCCGGCCGCATGGGGCCAGGCCTGAGTCAGCCGCATGTGGTCCTCGGCGCCCGCGCTTGAGTACCTGCACACAATTAGGCAAGATCGTTGTTTAATTAGTTTGGAGGTGAGGCGGCCTTCGCCCTCCTGGCCGGAGGTGCCCTCGTATCCTGCGGACTGCGCGGGTCTCCGCCACCCGTGGTGGCCATGTTACAACATGTTTCTGTTTGGTATAAATGAGAGGCAGTTGAGAATCATGGCAATGTTACTATGGATATAAGCGGTGTGTATGATAAATTGATAAGGCTTGAAGAGAAAAAAAAAAAAAGTAAGACATAGCCCTACCTTCGTAGGCTGCGTAGTTTTTTTTAAGCCTTTCATCTGGATATAGCCGTAGTATACGTTCATACACGAATACACGCCCACACTACACATGCACACCCCACACACACCACACATGCACAACTAGATCTACAACTACGCGCAGATTAGAAGACCGTGCCCTTCTAAAGATCACCGGGACCATCCATGGCTCCATAGGCAACGGGCGCGTCGCAATTTCTTTGTGGCTCCACACGCGAGAGAGGTTGCAGGTTAATATTGGGAATAAATCCTGGTGAGAGACGCTAGTCGGGAATCAAACTCAGCCGACAGCAAGCATACCTGGCTGCGCTAGCCACCTGAGCCTAGCTCGGTTCTCGTAGGTCGCGTAGTTACTAAAACTGACATTCATGGCCTGTTCATTCTCTTGCTTCACTATGGTAAAAAAGAGGGATTGGTTAATAGATGGCATCATATCATGATCAATGCAGCCTCAATCTTTGACAAAAGCATACGGTATATAGCATGAAAAGCTTCACGTAGAGCTAAGCAATCAACCATTTAAGATGTAAATCCATCAATTAAATCACATGAAAACTCTCACAGTTGCAAAAGACACTATTTTACCTAAGAACAGATGGGACATCCAATATTACATGACTAAGGATAGCTCATGAAAAAATGTATCAAACAACCACACGCACTAGCTGCAACAAGATATAAGGGACATTTGTAGCCGTATCTTAAGTAGGCATGTATTGTAAATATGATACATATGAGGGAACCTGCTTTTTCATTGGAGGAAAAAATTTCTTATCTGACACTAAGAAAACTTGCTCTTTCCTATATTTAGCACAAACTTCAAATCTTCCTTATCTGACATCTGGAATTTTTGTGACACTACCTTGAGTTTGGGCATACTGCACCGTCAACTGTCATGCGGGGCCACTGGTAAAAAGACTAACATGCCCCTGGAAGGGGATCGGGTATTCCCGTACGGACTCGTGGAGAAGCGGCTCCAGCTCCTAAGATGGATGCCTGTGACTTGGCCGGTGGGGGCGGCTTGGAGGATGGCGGGGCCGGGGGAATCCCTGCGCGAGGCATGCGCGGTCGCGTTGGCTTCCAGCGCGAGGCGGGCGCCGCGAGCACAGCAGGGACGGGCTCCCCGCGCGAGGCCGACGCGTCTGGGGCGGGCGTCGCAGCCCGGCCAGGGGCGGGCACCGCGCGCATGACCAGCGCGGCCGGGGCAGGCACTGCTCGCATGGCCGGCGCTGACAGGGCTTTATCGTCACACGAGTGGCCTATGCGGCCAAGGCGGGCGTCGCACGCGAGTTTGGCGCGGCCAGGGAGGCCGGCTGTACAGGGTGAGTTCACCCTTGTTTTCCATAGCAAAGTATTTTAAGTCAAGGTTTCTTCCAAGTAGCAATAGGATCCGATTAGATGTACACAGATAGTTCTAATGCATTATGTGCCTGTTTGGTGTGAAGCCTTGACAATTTGCTCTGCAAAAAGTGTTGCCTGCCTAAAAAAATTGATGAAAACAAACTTGAGAATGACCTGTAGCTTATTCGCTTGCTCGTAAACCGATCGTAAATTTTCAGCCGAGAACAGTGTTTTTCTCTCACACCAAACCAGCCAGCAGTAAATAATCCACGATACGATACGGCCTCCCGAATAGGCTGCTGGTTGGTTGGATGCTCGAGAGAGTTAATAGTAGAAAGCTTTCTAACTTTACATCTCAGTCAACACTTTGATTGTACTATTCAAATGGTAATACATCAAATTTACCTAGCAAGAAATATAGTTGGACAGGTATTTTTTTTTAAAAAATGCTAAGTATTTAATCTAGCAATATAAGAAAATATGCAAAAAAAAAAATTGTGATAAAGCTATATAATATTATGATATGTATATATTCTAATATCCACATACTGTAAAAGCTAACACAATTTGATTTGTCTTCTATTTATATATGCCTGTGTGTCTCCTAACCATGGTGGCGCAAGGTGACTAGCCCAGGCAATGCCGCTGCAACGCCCAGACAGTCGAGCTTGGATGTCAGGATCATCTGCCTTTTAAATGAATACCCAACTCAATAGTCTTCCATTGACTGCTAGGTTGGACAATTCATTTAATTGGTCATCCCGGTACACCTCCCATACGATGTACTATATCAATGTTTGACCTTCATCTAGGATCAAGTCAAGGAAAGGATAACATCACACACATACAACTAACTCCACAGGACTTGGAGAATGCATTTGGGGTAGTAGCAAGGTATGCCCTTGGTTTTGCATAAAAGCATTTTATACAAGAATCATAAATGTCGATCCTATACTTAAGCATTGACAAGCATAGCATGGTTAATTGAAATGAGCAACTAGCATTGTGATCTCGATCTTCCACGAGTCCTTGATTCAATTCAATTCAACTCTAGTCCGTATCTAGAAGTACAAAACTTATAGCTTTCAATGAAATCACTCTGCAGAGGGGTACAAATTAACCCCACCAAAGACAAGGGATATTGCCCATACGAACCATCGGTACATAAGGGATATCTCGATGTCTCAACCTTTCCCCAATCCGGCCATGAGTGCCAATGAACGGTTTGAGAGGCACCCGAGTAACGACATCTCATCTACCTAGCGTCACCTTCGCGCCAAATCCACGAATAGACCAGTCGCAATTAAATACTTGGCTTGTCATCCCCATCCATGACAAGTGGTTTGTACAAGTATGTTTATGACTTACTACCACGGATACATGGTCCTTAATAGGTTAGCGAGCTATATCATCCAAGACCTTCACCCAGCTTTCCATGATCCAAAAACCCATCGCTGGCCATTGATCATTATCATTCCTCATTGGTCAAGTTTAGATCATAACCCATTTATGTTGCTTAGGTGGACAATCATGCCCTAAAACGCGCGAGCGATGAGAAAGCCGTCATCATCTCAATTTCTACCATCTAAGCAAACTAAGCATGAGTTATTCAAACAATGAAAGTAAATAATCAACATTTGAGTGGTGCGGTGTCATCAAGGTATGAAAGCTCAAAATAGGAAATCATAGGTAGCCTAGTCATATAGTAACATAGCAATGCAATAAGTAAACAATATCACATTATGCATTTATCAAAGAGTTGGGGATGCATAGGGGCCTGCCTTGGATCTGCTCAACCGGGGGTTCATCAACGATTTCTACCTCTTGGGCCTCCTCCACAACAATTTCCTCGGAGCCTGCATCACCTATTAGATGCATGATGCATAATGAGTACAATGTATAAGAGTAATGTCATGATATGATCTGCTTTGATGTTGTTTGATTTGGGTTTAATCATCTATAGCAGGTGTGTGTAATTTAGTGTAAGTGTTCTGTCGACTAGCATTGACGGATGCTCTGTTAATAGGCTCGGATGGTCCATGGTGATGGCCCACCAATACCTTAGCGAAAGTTTCTAAGTGTGGGACTTCACAGACGCTCCGTCCTTGATCGCGGATGATCCGTGAAATTAAATTGACAGAACCCAAACCTAATAGTTTGGTGTGCCAATTTTATAATCCAGATGGACGCTCCGTGAGTGTTTACGGACGCTCCGTGGTTCTCAAAGACTTAGGTTAGAAATGGCTAAGTCTAGACTGGTGTTCACGGATGCTCCTTTGTGAGTGGCGGACGCTCTGTGAACACAAGTCTATAGTCTAGGGTGTTTCAGGTTTGTGAGTGATCCGAGGGAATGTTTCGTCAAGTTGATGGATGATCCGTCCTGACAAGTCTGTACTCCTTAAGCTCTCTGAGTGTGAAGTTCTCTCCATGGAACATTCCGTCAACAACAGCGAATGCTCCGTGATAAACTAGCTGCTCACGGGCTTGGAATTATAGCAAAAAATAATCTACCGGATGCTCCACCAAATTTGACGGAGGCTCTGCCTGGTTAAGTCTATGATATCTAACCTCTCTAAGTCTATGGATGAATTCATGGAACGTTCCGTCAGGGGTGGCGGATGATCCGTAAAATCATTAAGTGAACTGCCTAAGTGCTCTGGCTGTGTAACTGCATGGACGGAACCTTCCAACAAAAATGACGGATGGTCCGTGGAATATATTGTTTAGTGCAGAAACTTGCATCTCGAAATGGAAATCTTGCTCTAGGGTTCTTGCATGTCTAATTCCTTGCTAGTGTGGGTTCTTAAGACACTATAGAGCATATCTAGCTAGTTGGTTGAAGCTACATTCTGTGCAAACTAGCTCTAGGTCGTTGGTGTAGGTTTCTAGGTGATGTGACAATGTGAAGCAAGAAAGGGTGTGGGGCTCGGTTTCAACTCACCAAGGGTTGCTAAAGATGGCTGTGAAGCTTCTCAAGGTGATGGAGAAGCAAGATCCAACCCTTGACTGCTTAGGCTCCTTTGTCCTGTTTGCTTCACCTCCTCCTACACTACAAGATTTCGACCATATTGCCACTTACGCAATTTGCATCACCACAAATTGTGTTGTAATAGGGATGTGTTTTGCAACATTTGTCCAAAAAGGTGGCAATATGGGGACTGCGTTGCCACAAAAATAGTGCATTGTAATTTTTACATTTGGCGTTGCAAGAGGTGAGATTTATAGCAACCCTTTTTGAAAAGTGTTGCTATTGCTTAATAATATTGCCATAATGACATTTCGTTGCATTAGTATTGATTGGCGTTGCAACTGTCTGGTGCTCTTGCAACCAAATAGAACAGTGTTCCTACCCTTTGAAATTATTGCCACAGTGTTGTTGTGAGTTGTAATATTTCGCACGACCATTGCAATAGGTAGACCGTATATTGCAACTAAATTTCTAAGGCGATGCAATAGTTTGTTGCTATTGCCACAGTTTTTTGTGGTTGTAATATTTCTCACAACCATTGCAATAGGTACATGTTTATTGCAACTAAATATCTAAAGCGATGCAATAGTATGTTGCTATTGCCATATGTGTTTTTGGTTGCTATAGAAACATGTGTCATTGGAATACGATAGTGTATTGCAACACTTTTGTTTGATGGGCCTTTGGGTGTGAAGGTCTAGGAAAACATGCACCGACCCCCAACATGAACAAAAGGAGACGTTGTTGCCCTAGAGATCAAGAGACGCCGGCACCACACCCTTGATCATCAAGACATCAACACTACACACGTCGTTCGCATTAGCAATGCTTGCACCCTGATTCATCTTGCCTATGGTAAAGTTCTAACGATCTCATAGGCACATACTCTCCCATGCCACAAAAGTGTACAATTCTAATTTAATTTGTGTTATTGGCATACCAGGGGATTCTATTTCTCAACCAAATAGTTGCTTGCTTAAATATACAAATATGTATTTAGTCATGATTTTGAGGGCAAACATAGCCACATAATTGACATTAGTTTATGCCAACTACCAGGTCATATATACATATCCATATATCGTGGTTCCAGACATAGCCACAAACTAACATTGGTTCATACAAACCAACTGCCAACACATATAGTGCTTCCATACCAACCACCAAGTCATATATACACATATACATCATTGTTCATACAAGCGATGACCTAATTACCTGCCACTATAAAAGATGAACACCAGGTAAGACTTGTATTTATTCATGACAAAAGATCCACCCCATCATGAGTTCATCACACACTTCATTTCTTGTGAGAGGCCCCTTGTTGCATTTCTTCATCACTTCAGTTGTCTCTTGGCCATCGATGATTGCGTCGTACACCTTGGTGAACCTCCTACAAATATCATATATTCACATAAATCAAGAAAAGTTCTAACAATTTCCCATCTTGATTAACTGTACATGTGCAATCAATTTACATTTTACATCATAAACAAGTATTGTATTGATCAATACACCAACGTCGTCAACCTACAGATTTATCTGTGAAATCACATATTCAAGATTATGGTTGAGCTTGGCGTCCACAGATTCAAGACAATACACTTAAGTTAAAGGAGACATTGATCGAAAAAAAAAATTAAAGAGACCAATCAGTCTAGTACTGGCAGGAGACATGGCAAATTGCTAGGACAGTTGGCTGCCGCCCCCTCAGACTGCAATGGCTTCTGCTAGTGATTAAATCGTTGCTGTTTGATCAAATCAACACACTGCAACGGCTTCAAAAATAAAGAACTGATGAAATGGCTTCAGAATTTGACGGCTAATCAGTTTGGCCAATAATTTGCTGGGTTGATCGGTTATAGTGCTAGGTTATTAACGGGTAAACATGGAGCAAATTAATAAACAAAGCATATGGGTGTTGCATTGTTCGTTTAACAACAGCATATTTGACTGAATTAATAAATGTTCTACACATTAGAAAACAAAATTAAAATATCTACCTTTCAGTATTGTGAAATGCTCAAATTCAATGCTGCCTTTCAGTTTCAGTATTGTCACAGAAATGAAACACTAATAGGGAAAGCTAAAAGTGGTCCAAGCTTTTGCATACCTCGACACATGTCAATGCACACTAAATTCAATATGAGTATAACTGTTTGGAGATAAAGGTTGATTCTGCTAATTGAACATAGGGTTTTAGTCAGACTAGGGATAACAGTTACTGAAAATTGAAGATAATGTTGCAAAGACAGCCAAAAAATGTTGTGACCTCAATCATTAAAATGAATGTTGAAACTAAATTTACTCCCGAAACAAATGTGACCTCAATATAGACTGGGAAAGCAAAGAAAAGTTTGGCATTTACAATGGACTGCCATCTGTAGATAGTATGTCAGTTCCCATGACAACTCGTATTTTCCAAAAAGTAGAAACATCATTTTTCTCTTGTGCAAATAAACAGGAATGGAAGTAATGGACATCAGTAACTAATAGACAGCAGCAGTAATGGAAATAGCAAAAGATAAGTCCACGACAAATGTAAAACAGAAAGCAATCAGTCTCTTTCAAAAGTTCTTTCTTTTCTACATTCACAACATCAGAAATCATACTACAACACTGCTTTGCTACAACACAGTAAAAAAAGACATGCTGAACTGATTCAACTTCAGAGCAAAATAAACAGCTACTGTCTTCAACCTTCTTTTGGCCAGATTATCTCTAGCAGTGTTATCCTAAACGCTAAACGGTAAACAATCGGTCACCTACCGTTTAGCCCATTATTCGGGCAAAACGGGTGTTTAAACGGGAAAACGGCCGTTTAAACGGGAAAAACAACCGATTAAACGGAAACGGTGTACCACCGTGTAGCGTTTAAACGGTGTGTAAACGGGCTAAACGGCCGTTTAGGTGAACAGTGATCTCTAGTCAAAACTAGTAGAGAACTGCCAGACTAGAGCATCTTCTTCCTCAGTCAACTGAACTGTCAAAACTAATTGAACTACTTCCAACCAAGTGTTAAACAGCTCCTCATCTAATGCTCTCCTAAAAGTGCATTTCCAATTTTTTTCCCATCCCAAAGCTCTACAAAGGAGCAGTTTTTCTTATTGACTATTCTATATAACAACCAAAATTGTATAGCAAGACTGGAGGATCCTAACCAATTGTCTTCCCATTGCCTAACCTTTTTTCCATTCCCCACCTTCCACCTATATCCCATATTAACACCTTGGGCAGCCCACATGAACCCTTTAAAGAAGCTAGAAGCACTTGCAGTTTTTGACATAAACACATTGGGCCTGCTTGTGTCAAAATCTATCAACTCTTTCCAGATTTTATTTTTGTCTTGGACGGTGCCAGAGGCGGAGACGAGCTTGGACGGCTCTTCCTTGGACAGTGCCACAGCCTTCTGAGGCCTTGAGGTGGGGACCTGCTGAGTAGGGATGCAAGTGAGCCCATCTGCAGGTAGCCACAGCACACCGCACGAGCCGCAGACTAATCTAGCTGATTCTGCGGAGTTGAAGAATATTACCCATGTGATACATAAATTGAAGAATGCTTTAGTAAAGCTTCATATGTAACCTTGCCTTGGCATGGAGATTACTTAATGAAGGCGCTCCTGGACTCCCTGCAGATCAGCAAAGCCAATCTCTCCCTCAAGCTTAGCTTGTAGTTCACCAGCAAGGCCAAACAAAGCAAATAAGGCAGGAAGCTTCACTTCCTGCTGCAGTGGTTCAAGTTCAAGAACAGAAAAAATAACTAAACCAAATAAGAAATGTGACACCATCTGTCGGTGTTTTCGGACCACCGACGAGTAAATTTGTATTTGCGTGTCTGGCTCGGATGGTGTGCTCGGAGGACACAAGGGTTTATACTGGCTCGGGCGGAACGTCCCTACGTCCAGTTCGCTGCTGCTCTGTTACCGGCACTTGGTTTGCAGTAGGGGTTACAAACAGGCGAGAGAGGGAGAGGATCCCAAGTCTCTGGTGGAAGGAGTGAATGGGTGCTGAGAGCTCGCTTGCCGTTCAGCCGTGTGCTCGTGTCGTGCTCAGATCTCCGACACCCCCCCCCCCTCTCCATGGGGCGCTCTGCTTCCCCCTTTATAGACGAAGGGAAAACGCGGGTTACAGAGGAGGAAAAGTAGAAGAACGAGAAAGAGAAGAAGGCTTCCAGGGTTGCCGGGTCCTTCTTCTCCTTCATGCGGGTCCTGCTGATCCTATAGACGTCAATAGGGACGGCTCCATGCGCAGGTGCAATCTGCCGGTCATGGCGTTCCACTCCGTCCCGACGGACGTTGTGGTGAACTGACGCGCCTGTCAGCGTTTGTACGAGGGTTAGGTAGAACAGCACCAGCACGCCCGACACTGTTCTTGATGTGAATCCCCAGGTATGGCCCGTCATGGCCACGGGTTACATCGAGGCGTGCCAGCCTCTTCCCTGGCGTCAGAGTTTTGACCCAGGGCCATACGCTTGGACCTGGAGTGGTTGGCGGCGGTATGGGTCCCCGTCGGACGAGACGGAACCCGCGTCCTCGAGGTCGGGCAAGACGGAACCCGCGACATTGGGCGAGACGGAGCCCGCACCCAAGGGGACGGGCGAGACGGAGCCCGCGGCCTTGAGGTCAGGCGAGACGGAGCCCGCGGCCTCGAGGTCGGGCGAGACAGAGCCCGTGTCCTCGAGGTCGGGCGAGACGGAGGCCGCACCCAAGGGGTCGGACGAGACGGAGCCCACGGCCTTGAGGTCAGGCGAGACAGAGCCCGCACCCAAGGGGTCGGGCGAGACAGACCCCGCGGCCTCGAGGTCGGGCGAGACGGAACCCGCGTCCTTGGGGTCGGGCGAGACCTTTTAATACGTCTCTAACCATCCGGGGAAGTCAGCGTGGGCGCTAACTTCCTTGCTTTGGGTATCCCCAATATCAATACCCGACACCATCATTGTTGTAGATTAAATTTTGTTAGAAAAATAAAATCAAATGAGTAAACTCATATTGCCTTGGCTTTCATTTATTTGATCTGATACTGAAATACAGAGAAGAGACCTTCTAAGAAGAATTTAAAAAGCACAATAGCATCTCGTAATCGTAACTGTGACTTTTTATTGAGAAATTACCATGGATCAGATCTCAATTGTAAGGGCAGAATGCAAATGAGAAATAGATAGGAATCCCTCCACATACAGAGGTTAATCCAGGTTGATGGGGACAGGAATACATACCAACTCAGCAAAAAAATTAGCTGTGATCTCATCCTAACAGATATTAGTTGTGTAGTCAATTTGCAAGGATGCAAGTCATTCTCAACATGCAAGGGAGCACAATAGCCAATATGCATATCCCAAATGAAATGGACTAATTAACCTTTAATCTTATCGCCAGATCTGAAGCTGAACCAAATGATCTTTCAGAAAAAAAAAGTACTTACTCACATAGATACTGAAGTTACTTGCAACAATGATACACCAACATTTTTACATAAATAAAGTACTATATCTGAATAGCAATTTTTCAGCTACCATGTACAATACAAATTCATTTGAGTTCAGGGGATGTGCCCCTCTTGCTGTCAAAAATGGACGCTGTTTACAGTTCAGGGACTGGAAATATGTTTTGGGGGATGGCAAGATTTGTTTTGTAAGATGGAGCATAGTCGTCCCTACTAATTCATAGGTACTCGGTAGAGCTCATCAGCAGACAAGTATCTAGGATGTTGCATGCTTGAGCACTCCTTGTGCTTAGTACCTTAATTCAAAGAATAATAGGCTTATGGAAACTGATGCACTGCCACTTCTGCTTAAATGAAAATATTAATGAGCTTACTTACCGTACAGAAACAAAATAGCAAGCCAACAGAGAATTATTCATAAATGCAGCTTCTAAACATAAAGAATGACAACTATTCTGGGAAAAACAGTTCTAGAAAAATAATTGCAAGCCATGGAAAAAACAGTTTTTTTGTTACAGTCGTGGAACAGAGTTCTGAAAAACAGTACCTGTTAGTTCAGAACCAAAACAATTCTGTACATAATATTAGTGCATTGGCAGATTCTGTTATGCATTTTATTTAAACTACTAATTCATTAATGGTTTCAGGACCGTAACAATTTACTTTAAAAAAATAGCAATAGAGCTACAGATCTGCTAGTGCACAAAGAGTGGCAACAGTTCTGGAATAAACAGGGGCCTTCACCTTCGTGAGCTTGTGTAGGTTGTGCCGCTGCAGCTCTTGTCGGGTTGACACTAGTGCTTGGCCGTGGGTACCTGACGAGAAGACAGTGATTCTTTCCGCTGCACAGCTCCTCCCCATCCTTGCTCTTCTCCTCACTGTCATCTCCTTGCTCCTCGCCAACGCATACGCACATGAGAAAAGCCGAGGAGCATGTCAGCCAAAGTCGAATCTCCAGAGATGCCATGGAGCTCTGGTAGGATTCGGATCGGAGAGGGAGACTGGGGGCAACGAGGCGTACCTGACAAGAAGCGGCTCCAAGCCGTATAAATCGGAAGGATCTGCGCCACCGTTGGTTGGATCTCCACCGCGACACATGGGGTGGCTGGATCCTTGTGCCATATCCCGGCATCGCGCGGCTGAGCGAGGGAGGCGAAGAGAGGAGCGCCGGTGGCCCGCTTTGTCCGCACCATTAGGCAGCCTCCGGCAGGAGCCGTGCTTTGTCAGATTCGAGACAAGGAGAAAGAAAAGGGCAGCAATGCGGGGGACGTGGATGGTACCTTGCCGGAATCGTAGCGGGGCGGCAAGGCGCGCGTCCTTGGGTTTTCTGCCTCCGCAATGACCTCGCCGATAGGAGCGCAGCCAATGCTGTGGGCGGAGGCAGGAGCCGAGCCTCTGACGTTGTTGGAGGGCGCCGCCGCTGTCCGCCGAGCACGTCGATACCTCCGTGCCCGTGGGGAATTTTAGATGAGAGAATGGGAGGGGAGTAGTCGTGACTGCGGAGGGGCGCGAAGCAAGGGTGACTTTGGCGCGCGTGGGGCAGTGGCCTAAAGCATGGCAACGGGATGTACCCGTCGGGATCGTCGGAATGTTCTCTTCCCCGCTATAGAGAATTCATCTGTTTTTGTCCTCGTTAACTATCTTGAGTATAGATTTTTGCCCATCCTCATATTTGTCGGGCATCGATCAGGCAATATATACCCGACGGTTACTGCATACCCGATAAACAATGACACTTAGGGTCACAACTTTGTAATCAGAGACATTTCTTCTTCACCCGGGTATAAATGTCGAGTCTCGGAGATGCCGAGGAGAAGGAGCGAGGTTGCGAGGAGGACGAGCAAAGATGGCAGAGAGACCGAACTGAGGAAGCGAGGGGGACGAGCGCTCGTGAGGCAGGCTTGTGCTGCTGGTGGAGATGGTAAGAAAAAAATTGAACTAGGGTTGATAGAACACACAAACTATATATATATATATGATTGTTCAGATTTGGACCAAAATACCTATTTTGAGCTTTTTTGGACCTAATACTCGCATGACAATTCAAATAGTCGGGTTCCCCAACGGGTAACGGGGACGGATAAATAGAGAACGTTTCCGTACCCGCTATACCCGTCGGGGATGGATTCTTGTCCATTTGGATGCCCACGGATAAAGATACGATCTTATCTCCATTTCCTAATGGATCAAATACCCGTCGAATATCACGTATCGGGGCGTTGCCATCTTGCTCGGGCGGGCGCGCCAGGAAAAGTTTTGGCAGCAGTTTTGGTTCTGTCGCTCAATTATTATTTGGATTTGACACAAGCGCTAGTTTGGTGGCAGCAGTTTTATTCTCACGCTCAGTGTTTTTCTAAAACATTTTTTTTCCAATTCAATAGGTCCTTTATATTATTATATAATCACCTCCTACGAGTTAGAGAGGATATTTGATATTTTTTTATTTTTAATTAATAAACTCTCTTACCAAATTATTAGAGGGGATTTTTTTCCTTTTTGCTAAAATATCAAAACTGGGAGTTATTTTACATAAACTCCCAGATATGCTCTAAGAGCCTAACATTGGGTACGTAGATTTGTTAGTATGACTAACCCTCCGCCAGTCTATGAAACGGCCAGAGCTCGGAAGCTACACTCGTTGAGATCTATTAGGTTTCGGAATCTGTTAGACCAAAAGAGCCTGACAGCGCAGAAGCACTACACCGTCATCCCGTTCCATATCCGCGAGGCACTGTCGCGCACTCCCACAAACAAGGCCGCACCCGGGGCATGACGTATCGTGACAAAGAGCTCCCCAAGCCTCAGATTGGAGGGCTTTGGGCCCACTCGTCATAAGCTCCTCCGGGTAGGGAGGATCCTTGGGCACCGAGGAATCCTGGAGAAGGCTCACCCAGGGAAGGCTCCGCGGCGGCACACGACACCTGACGGTCAAGGGTGAGACTGCAGCAGCCACAATTTTGTGTCATTCAGAACTGTCATATCAGTTCATGAATTTCCAAGGTTGTCACCGTTGGTCCCTAAACATCGATAGAAGTGTCATTCAGAACCGTAAAGTTGGTTTTGACTCTCATCTGGGCCCACACGATGTCTAACCCACTCTATTGGCCAGTTCCTAAACTTGGCGTAGTGTCATCATGGTCCACAAATTGACATATAGGTCCCACATGTCAAAGATGTGGAACAGAGGGAAAGGTGGACCGCACACTCCAGTAACTTTGTTACTCCATCTATTCTAAATTATAAGATGTTTTTTGCTTTTTAATACATTGATGTTAGTATGTATCTAGACATAGTGTATATTTAAATGCATAGCAAAGGCTATGTATCTAGAAAAGCCAAAACATCTTATACTTTATAATTGAGAGAATACTTTACATTTTTTAGAATTTAATAATCTCCAAACTTTCTTTGAAAAAAATGAAATTTCATGGTTGACCAAAATTTATCTTCATAACATTTCAAAAAAGTGTAACTAAGGTAGTCATAGGCTTCATTTGATTTCCAACTAAAAGCACTTATTCCAACCAAAAGCAATTATTCAATAATTTATTAAATTTATAATACCCCAAAAAAATTTCAAAATATTGTAAAACTTAGGAAGGGACCAAGTGCATCATTATAACACCTTAAATAGGTTTAATTAGAAAGATAAAAATGAGGCAAACGTTTTAATTTGTTGTTCATATCAACAAACACGACTTACTTACCTATGCTTGTTCGAATGATCTCAGCTTAGTCAAATAACTGACCGAGTTATTAAGGGCTTAATAGCCCACTATGACGGATGGACTTATTGAACCCAACGATTAATGGCCTAATCCCATGAGTGCTCGAGCTATAAGAAGGGCCACTATGTCTAAGTTAATTATCGTTAAGTTCGTGATTAGCCACTCTAACTACCTACAGATCAAGGTAAGCTCCGGCACGGCTTAATTGAAGCCAGGACTGCTAGAGAAATGATGGAGATGATTTTCAAGCTAGATGCAAAAAGGCAGCTGACAGTCATCTTGCTTCTGTGGAATAGAGGATGATTTTCAAGCTAGATGCAATAGAGGATTTTCAAGCTAGATGCAATAGAGGATGCACCTTATAGCAACCAAACCTTGGGCATGGCAATTGCACATGTTGCCACCAGTTCTTGGTGTTCCGACATAATCCTTGTTGCCACACGCGTTATGCGTGGCAATATGTTGTCTTGCAACACACGTCCATCGTTGCTAGTGCACCATTTGCTACGACATGGTCAAGTTGCCATTGCAAGGTCCAGCAACGCCTACCGTGTTGCATTAGTTGTTGTTGCCACACCTACAACCGTAGCAAAAGCTTATGTTGCAACGCCTAGGTGTTGCAAATCCAAAACGCATTTTGCAACGCTAAGGAGAAAAGCATTGTCCAAAGCTTTACCCATGCAAGCGCCCGCCTCCCAACGAAAAAAAAGTGTTGCTATTTCTGATATTATAACTATTTCGGGCCTATTGCAACATTTTTCGGGCGTTGAACAGGGTCAAAATTTAGTAGTGCTAGCTCCAATATGGTGAGGAAGAGAGGTCTCCTCCCTCTTCTCTCCCCCACCTCTTATTGATGGCAGCTTCTAGATGGCCTCCATGGCATGTAGCAGCTGGTATCGCCTCCAATCTTCCCCTTCTTCTCCTTCCCTTGCTCCTTCCCCCTTGCTTGTGTGAGAGAGTGTAGAGAGAGAGGGATGAGAACAAGAGAGAGGGAGTGAGAGTGAGTTGAGGGTGCTCTACTATTGCCTTGGGTCGTGCTGGTCGAGGTGTGGACAAGTATGCCGACATGTGGGACCAAGTGAGTTCCACAAGTGACACCTAAGTGTTTCTGCATGGGAAGAATTGAACGGACAGTCCATCATTTCCGGCGGACACTCTGTTAGTGCAGAGATTTCAATGGAACCTTCCGTCAAAGCTGATGGATGGTCCGTCAAAATGTGTAGTGTGCAGTTTTATTCAGTTTGGTTTCCAAATTTGAAATTCAAATGCATATGATGCTCATAATGATGATAAAATTGAACATGTCTTGACTAGGTCATGGCATTGGACATAGGTAGCTGTTGCCTCGCAGGCAACTTTTCAGGGTTCTAAGCAAACAATGTACAGGCAAGGTCGTTCATGCAACAGTTTTCACGGGCAAACTCAGTTCGTAACGAAACAGGCATATACTTGCTATGTGCCGTGTGTGTTAACTAATGACATATTTTCTCTTTTGTAGGTCAAGAAGAACGACTTTAAGCATGATTGCTCTACTAGAAGGAAAAAGAAGGTCAGGAATGGAACCAAACAATGGGTATGCAAGAAGGTGAAGGGCTTTCTAATTGAAGATGACATGGGAGGGTAAAGCTCCAGCAGCTTGTATGTCCTTTCCACCACCAAGGTTTGTTCATCTCTCATTTTTCTAAATTCATATTGCATCACATGGTGTCTCATCGTAGTACTTTCCTTCACACTTGTGTAGTCAAAACTTGGAGACTACAACTACTAAGAAGAGAAAACAAGCTGACTCATGTTCTGAAGCTTAAAAAGGTAGCTCTTCTATTTCTGAAAGCTCATGTTGAACTCTAAGACAATATACTAATTCAGTTTTTTCATAGCCAAAACATGGAAATTTCAAGTAAGAAAAAGGGAAAACATGGTAACTCTAACTCTGGAGCCTCGAAAAGGTAGCTCTAAAAAATCTGAATTTTTTTTGCATGGTCAGTTTTCCATATGTTCTTCAAATAATTGTTGATATACATGAGGTCAAGAAGTGGCTCAAATCAACCTGAGGCACATTCAATTGTATTTTCTACACCCACAGATGAACCTGAAGGTGTTAAGAAGGCGAAGGGCAAAAGGTCAAATATTCAGAAGCTGCAACTTGATAGCCCTGCAATTGGCACAAGGAGAAAAAGGGTTGAGCCTACTAGCCCTGCAATGGGCACAAGGAGCAAAAGGGTTAAGCCTACTAGTCCTG